TCTATATATATATATATATATATATATATATATATATATATATATATGGCTTTATTCGTAATAAACCACAAAATGGTTGCTATAAAAATGAGGAAGTCGGTGATAAAAGTTGAAGTCAAATATGATTCTGAGAAGTTTACGTATGGCCACGAAAAGTATGGCCTTATGGGTTAAGACATGACTTGTTCAAATTTCATATTATTAATTAATAAGCAAATTATATTTTTTTTGTCCCTTCTGTTGTTAAAAATTACGATTTTAACCATAAGGGTGGTGTCTGATTGATTTGAGCTTGGGATTCAAAGATCAAAAGTGATTGGAGGTCCCGAGTTTATATCTAAGGAGAAAAATATATCTTCTTATGGCTATGGAGATTCAAATGCAGTGATTTCGAACTACCCGCAAATCAAATGGTCATCATGAGATTTTTCGGCTTGTATAGCGGTTTAGATATTCAGGTTAATAAAAAAAATTATGATTTTTTCATGTGGTATTGTGGTTTACATTATTTGTAATTTATTATTACTATTATTATTTATGTACTAATTCCTACGTTTAAAATATAAGGTATCAAAACAGTAAAAAAATTATAAATCATCGAGACAAAAACAACAACAAATTGTAATATAAAGAAATAGTAATAAATTTTAAATTGTAGGGACGAAAATTGAAACTATTAGTAGGAAAATTATAATTTACTCTTAATTAAATATATGATATATAAAAGGGTAAAATGCACAAAATAACAATCTACTTTTATAAATTTTTTTATTATAATATTGTACTTCCAGTTTTTCTTATTACAACAATGTACTTTCAAACTACTTTTTATTAGGACATTGTTCTTTAAAAAATTTATTCATTATAGCATTGGGTAATCTTTTGATTTAAATTTACCCATTATATTAGGTTTCCATGCCACCTCATTGTCCATGTAGGTTGTCCACTTATACTATAGTGATGTGATTTTCTTACTACATCATTGTACTTTCAAAATTATTTTATTATAACATATACTAGTTCTTATTAAACACTGTGTTTTTAATTTTAATATTTAGATATTTTACATGTTATTAAATAAATATATTAAATGAATTAAAAATATTCTAAATTATTCATTAATATACCAATATCAATAAAACTTGTAGAACATAACTTATCTCGCTAATATTTTTAAAAAATATGTTTTTTTTGAAAAAAGAAAATAATAACTGTTCTTTTTTTACCAAAAAATATTATCTTTTAAARAATATATTATATTTGTTCAAAAAAAAATTACTTGACTTATAAATATATTAAATTAATTAGATTTTTTGAATTATTTATTAATATAACAATGTTAAAAAATTATAGATCACAATTTATTTGGTTAACATTTTAAAGAAAACTTTAAAGATATGCATTCATTTGAACAACATAAAATAAGAAGTGTTACAATTTTTACAAATAAAATATATCTCGAATATAATGTTTCATATTTATTTAAAAAATATTTTACTTTAGAATATTTACTTTGGACGCAACTTAATAAGAAAAAGTCAAAAAAAATGTTGTTTTAGATCATATCAATGAAAAATGAAAATCACTAATAATAATTTGAAATATGTTTTTATTTTTATTCTAGTTAAGTCATCAAAATGATGTGTCATCCACATCACCTCATTAAAGTCACACAAGCAAAAAAATTCAAGGGGTTAACCGGTTTAAAAGGTAACATGTTAGTCATTGGTATTATGGATAGATTTTTTTAAGTACGATGTCTTAATAAAAAATAATTTAAAAATGCATTGTTGTAATAAATAAAAACAAAAGTCGAATACTATAATAAGAAAATTTATGAAATTAGGTTGTTATTTCATACACTTAACCCTATATAAAAATATATTTAAAACTAATAATCCTAAATTTACTACAAAAAGTTGTATAACTAGAAATGTACAATCGGAATCAGATTTAAAATTGGTCTAGGGACCTGTTATAATCGCTTAAGTGTAGATTGTTTTTAAATCACGGTTACAAGAACAGCCTAATCATTGATCCTACGTGGTTACCATTCTTGGGTATTGAATCGGCTAAAAATAGGTGTTAAAGATTCGTTGACTAAGTCTGGTAAACACTCCCGATTTAGGACCTGTCAAAGGGATGACGAATATTTATGTACAAATTGTTTTTGTATGATGCGCATGTACAATTTATATTTCTAGTGTGTATATGTATCTATACTATATTATAAAATATTTGATTAAATAAATATGTATTTCACTGTATTGCGTGAATATCATACATATATATATATAGAGAGAGAGAGAGAGAGAGAGAAAGAGAAAGAGAGAGAGGGGGGGAGGAGGTTTACTTTGCAAACCATCTATTTCATACAAACCTTACAAACTACCCCAATTTGTATAAACCATGTGTATGTATGTATGTATGTATGTATGTATGTATGTATGTATGTATGTATGTATGTATGTATGTATGTATGTATGTATGTATGTATGTGTGTATGTGTGTATGTATGTGTGTATGTGTGTAAGTGTGTATGTATGTATGTATGTATGTATGTGTGTGTATGTATGTGTGTATGTATGTATGTATGGGTGTATGTATGTGTGTATGTATGTATGTATGTATGTATGTATGTATGTATGTATGTAAAGGAGCGATCAAATACAAACCGCCCCAATTTGTAGAAACTTTACAAACTAATTAAAACCTAATTACAACCAATCACATAAATCCATTTGTTTTTCTATTAATCTCATTCGCTCCCCTTGCTTTCATTTTTCAATGTCAGTGTCGGGTGATTTAGTAACATTGGGTGACAAGGTAGCTTTGTTACCTATTCCATTAGGAACCGCAGATTTTTTGGTACATCACATTCATGCATTTACAATTCATGTGATAATTTTGATACTTTTGAAAGGTGTTCTATTTGCGCGTAGCTCTCGTTTGATAATTGTTTATCAATTTGTATTTGTAATAGATAGATGGGATAAGAATTTTTGTTGATAACTCTAAAACTGGCTTAGAAAGCAATTTGAGAGTT